TTTCTAGGATATCCTTTTGATATGAAAGCCTACAAGGTTATGCATCTTGTAACCAAGAAATTTCATACTCCCGAAATATTGAGTTATGTGAAACCGAGTTTCTGTTTATCAAACCCTTTCCTCCACTAGATAATACATCTGATTTTCCTTTGCCAATATCAGATATTATACACTCGCCAAATTTACCTCACCAAGAAAGTTCCAGCCCTGTTATTCCTGATATTGTTAACCCTACCAATTATGATTTTACCCATTCTGTTCCGATATCACCTGCTATACCTATATCTTCGGCACCTCAGTCACAAGATCATCAAATTAATGAATCTGAGTTTGTACAATCTAAACAACAGTCTCAAAATCTTGATCATGTTGAGTCAACTTCTACTCCTGTAATACGCAGATTTTCATGAGTTTCTAATCCTCCTTATTTTGATGATTTTGTTTGTAATCATGTTTCTTCGGATGTTTCCACACCGTATATTGAAATATGTCCTCATACTATGACTAATCTATGCATTTTGTCTCAGAATCTGAATCCTATTGCTTTAAATAGTTATAGTCAATCTTTTGTTGCAAATATTGTATTTGTTGTGGATCCTAAATCATATGAGGAAGCTGTTTCTAACCCTTTTTGGCAAGAAGCTATGGCAAAAGAATTTGCAGCCTTAGAAGCAAATGGTACCTAGAAGTTAGTACCCTTACCTGAAGGAAAACATGCTAGCGGATGCAAATGGGTTTATAAAACCAAATTCAATCAAGATGGAACAATTGAGCGACATAAGGCACGGTTGGTGGCACAAGGCTTCACTCAAAAACCAAATGAAGATTATTATGAAACTTTTTCCCTAGCTGTCAAGTTTACCACAATCAGATGTATAGTGACACTTGTTAAACAACATTGGCCCATTCATCAATTAGACATCAACAATGCATTCTTACATGGAGATTTGCGTCAAGAAGTTTACATGAAAAGGCCTAAAGGTATGGTTTGTAAAAAAATTTAACTACGTTTACAAACTTATGAAATCCTTGTATGATTTAAAGCAGGCTTCACGACAGTGGTATTCAAAGTTGTCTGAAGCATTGAGGGCAAAAGGTTTTCATCATTCTCAGAATGATTACTCTCTATTTCTCAAAAAGACAATCGAATCTTTCACTATAGTGGTTGTATATGTTGATGATGTCGTAGTTACCGGTGACGGTCTTCGTGAAATAGAAGAGTTGAAGAAGTTTTTGCATGACACTTTCCAAATCAAGGATTTGGGCCATCTTAATTACTTTTTGGGTTTGGAATTTCTACGAAGTGATAAAAGGAATTTTTCTAACTCAAAACAAATACCTCACCGAGTTGCTAGATGAGTATGGTATTACAACATCTGAAAATATTACTACTACGTTATCTTGTAACTTGAAGCTTATGCTAGACATGCCTAATCCTTTAGCTGATCCTAGTAAATACAGACAACTGGTCGGGAAACTCAATTTTTTGGTACACACTCGGCCTGATTTGGCATTTAGTGTTCAATTTCTCAGTCAATTCAATCAAAATCCTTCCAAAGCTCATTGGGATGCTGCTCTACATGTTCTGAAATATTTGAAGTTGTTTGGTTCTTTTGGATTATTTTTCAATGATAAGTCTGATTTCTCACTCTGCATATTGTGAATCGGGTTGGGCATCTTGTCCATTTTCCAGAAGATCAATTAGTGGTTACTTTGTTTCTTTTGGGGGGAGTCCTATATCATGGAAGTCAAAGAAACAATTGACTGTGTCATCATCTTCAGCTGAGGCAGAATTGAGATCTATGAGAAGAATCACTACTGAACGTACGTGGTTGAGTAGATTGTTGGCGGATTTAAGGGTAGATAGCATTACACCAATTGCTCTAAAGTGTGATAATCTAGCAAGTATACATATAGCAAACAATCCGGTTTTTCACGAAAGGACAAAGCATATCGAACTTAGATTGCTATTATGTAAGAGGACAGTTGCAGGCTGGAGTTATTGCAGTTGAATTTACACCAACAAAGTCACAACTTGCAGATGTGTTTACTAAGTCTTTGTCAGGGCCTAAACATTCTGATATAACAAGCAAATTGGGATTAGTTGATCAACCACCAGCTTGAGGGGGGGGGGGGTATTAGAGTTGTTATAATTTCAGTTAGTTTGTTATCTTAGTTGGTATTTTAGTTAGACTAATTTTGGACACGTATATTGTGTTTTAGTCTCTGTATATATTGAGTTGTTACTTCTAAATAACATATACAAAAATTCCCCAATCTCTCTCTACTTTCTCTCTTCTTCCAATTTCTCTCTACTCTCATTCTATCAAAGTTCATGATTGCAAATTCGATTTGTAAGAAATTGATACATAATAGTTGCGCTTCACTAACTAAACGATGGACTTCCCTAGCTTCTTACGGTGTTACTGACAATGACTTATAATCAATTGTGCTATTTAAGCCTCAATAATAGAACTTAGATCGATATGGAGAACGAGTGATGGAACTCTCTGTAGTTTATTTTTTCTTTTAGAACTTGATTCTCACGCTTTTCATGAATGGGTTATATAGACAAGGGAGACTCCCCTTTTATAGGGGGCTTCACCCCTCTTAGGAACCATCTAGACCAAGAAAGTTCTAGGCCCTTTAACATGTCTAGTTAGAGCTGGGCATCTGGACCAGGCCTGCTGTTATTTAGACCAATTTTATTAAGGCAGAACAGATAAAGACCTGGACCGAATAAAGACCGCTTTGGTTTATTAATTTATTTCTTTTTTAAATCTATTAATTTTATCTTTTACTTTCTTTTTCTAAACAAGACCAAAAGCTTAGAACATACTTCTTTTGGATCAGACAAGACCATACCAGATATTGTTCTTACTTAACCTGACCGGTCCTGGACTTGGCCAGTATTACTTATAGGGAATGCATATGATAAGCCCATAGTTCGTTTTACCTATTCGAGGAGGAACCGGAAATAGTTTATTATGTAGAGGGTACTTTGGGTAATTGGGGAGTGTGAGTGGGGAGTCTTTTTTGTTAGCAAGTCTGTCAGGAAGTTTCTACCAGGGGGGACAAGGGAGGGTCTGGGTATTAAACAGATGCGGAGGGTAGGAGGGGGATGTCGCTTTTGTATTCCTTTTTGTGCCGCAAAGCTTGGAGACCCCAACTTCTCAAATTGTGGGTTTACCTTCAATAATTCGATTTATACTACGTAATTCAATCATTCCAACGGTTCACTAGTGCTTTGTGTGACCAATTATACCAATTGGTATCAATGCATTAAACTTGGACCATGCCTTGCTCTTCAGCTTTGCGAGTTGAGGTAAAGTATATGCTTCGAACCTTCATGCTGAGAGGAATTTTACTTTGAACCATCTAAGTAGGGAGAAACAAATAGAAGTCATGATTATAGCATTTTGAGGTCATGTGTTGAAATGGTTCCAATGTTGACATAAGCGTAGACCGATTACAGGGTGGGAAGAGCTCAATAAGTGATGCTTCTGATACATATCCAATTAACAGCGAGAAGGCACCCTATGTGAACTACTTTTAGCCCTGAAACAAATTGGTTCCACAAGTGATTACTGCAAACGATTTGTATCACTTGATGCACCTTTGAATGGGATAAGCAAAAAAGTCTTCCTCCACTCTCCAGTCAACTCATCAATCGTTTAGACCCCTTAATACTTGTAGTTACTGTAACCCCACAAGCTCATCTGACCCCAATGTTTTCGAGTGGAGTTGAGGCTGTTATCACATGGAAGTTTGGGAGAGTCAATGGAGCTGTTGGTTATCATCAAATACCGATGAAAGACGATGATGTGCATAAAATGGCGTTTAGAACTCATGAGGGGCACTATGAGTTCTTGGTAACGCCTTTCTTGTTGGCTAACACACCCTCAACTTTCCAGAGCTTCATGAATGAAGTGTTTAAAGATCATTTGTAGAAATTTGTTTTAGTTTTCTTTGACGACATATTTGCATACAATCAAAGTATGAAGGAACACACAAGCATTTGGAGCAAGTGCTCAAAATACTCCTAGAGCATCAACTCTACGCAAATTTGAAGAAATATGAATTTGGCCGAGTAGGCTCGTGTATTTCAGGTAACACACCATTTCAAAGGAAGGAGTGGATATGGACCCAGCAATGGTTCAAGCTATGTTGGAATGGCCAAGTCCAAAAAATATGACTAAGCTGCGTGGATTTTTGGCCAAGTCCATTTGCCAGGAGTTGATGGAACCGGAGTACCAAAAATGGGTCAACAAGCTACTTAATTATGAGTTTGAAATAATCGATCGTGCAGGGAAAGTAATATGGACACGCACGGGAAAGGTATTATGACATGTTCTATCTTGGACGGGATTCTACCAACTAGACCATAGCCGTATGCAATTACATCAATGACCAATGAACGGAAATAGGAACTTGAAAACAAAATACCTGGACTAATACAATTTAATAACATGCTCATACCTTAAAAATTCTTTTTTGGTAACAGTGGGTGTCTGGGTTAACTTATGTGCACCTCGACTAATCCTATGAGGCTCTAAAGATATCAACCAAGAAAATCCGTGGTAGCCTTGAGATTGAGCTGACGACATATAGGGAGGAGCCCAAGGCCTTGAATTTATTTGCTAGTGGCCCTCAAGGTTTTAAAAGTTTAAATTAAGATTGAATAGTTTTAGTTGTAAAGAATGAACATGAGCATTAATGATTGCATAGAATTACCAAAAGATGCTACTGCTCTTTGTTTCTAACCTTCAATCAGTTTTCTGGTCTGTTTCGCTTCTCATAATATCTGGGCTTGGTTTATTATGTACATGTGAATTAGGCTTGGTTTATTATGCATATGTGAATGCCGTTTTCTTCTCATTGTGAATATTTCTTGTATCGGAACGTATATAAACTTGCCACTACTTGATATGCTAAATCTTAATAGAATTTTAGTCTTTATCCCTTAATGCTCAGTTTTCTTGTTTTATTCCCATATATAGGTTATTGGTGTCAAAAAACGACAGGTTTCGTTGGGTGCTGGCTCAAAATCAAGGGACAAAGTTCTTATAGTTGAAGGGGTATCACTAGAGACGGTATACGATGCTCTCAATAGAGGATTAGATAATTCCTGATGCATAAAAGTCGAACGTACGTTTCCAATTTTCATATACTAGCTAACTTTCTTAGATATGATCGTCATAACAGTTAATGTCGTGTCTAAAGATGTGCTAACCGGTCGCCTGGTGCCTTAAACTAGTCCTTCCATAATGGATTGAAGTCAGGACCAGTTTCCAGGGTTAGGATTGAGAGTTCATTGTGTACTATAGAATTATTTCTAGAATTTTTACGTTTGGGTATGTTCGTATTGTTTTTTTTTTGTTAAGCGTGAGTGTTCGGGTCAGCTTGATGTGCATCTTGATTAATCTCTCGAGGTCCTCAACATAACAACCAACAAAATCCGAGCCATTTACAAAACACTTATCTGGTAAGCTCTTATTAAGTCACATTACCTTATCGGTAAAAGTGAAGGTAAGGACCGAGTCTTACCTGGTAAGTAAGGACGATAACTCTCACCATGGTTAGCACTTATCAGGTAAATTGTTGCACACGATGTTGTATTGATGTATTAAAATCTTACCTGAGAAGTAACTGCTAAAAATGTTTGTTGGTAGAGCCTTAATTTCTGAGAGTGGAATATGGGCTTGGTTGAATCGAGATTTTAACAAAGCTTGAATACTCGAAATATATTTTCAAATAACTGAATCTTAAAAGTGTTTTTATGAAATGACAATTGAGTAAAAATATACTCCTTGTTTGCTCTGATATTTTGCCTATGAATTTTATGACGAAACTGGATATGATTTTTAAAAGGATTTAAATATTATAAAATAGAAATAATTATGAAATTTGGAGTAAATTTCATTTTTGCTTCTCATGCTTATTTGTTTTCTCTAGTTTAAAAGCTACAACTTAACCAGCAAAGACGCTCAGAATTGGTCCTTCCTAATAATGCTCAACTTTTATTTGTAAAGCGATTCTGTCATTTTAGGTTTTTGTCTCGTTTTCTATTAAAAATTAAAAATCCTTTTAGATATATCCACTAAAATCATGCCACGTGTAACCCACCCTTTACCCAAGAACTCCTAGGCTGATGAAAGTCTTTTCCTGCGAGTCCCTTTACAACTTCATTTTCTTCGGTGAGAAATTTATCAAGAACAAAAACCCTATCCTTATACTCCATTGCCACTTCAATGTTTTTTAAACATTTAAGAAAATCTAGATCTCTGAACTCTTGATTTTACGCGTCCATTTTTAATAGTAATTTGTGTACTTTCCTACTCTACCTTTAATTATGTGATGGGGAATCTTATTCTATTATTAAGGGTAAAACTGTTATTTAATTATATAATAATTGTAATAAAAGGCAATACTCCTGGAAATTAATTGTGTGTCATTTTCATTGTGAAAATTTACTTTGGAACGAACGAAGTAATATTTTGTACACATTTTTAGGTCCAATCAGGTGACATCCAAATTCAGAGTTGAAGAAGACCTTTGTGTTCCTTTGACCCCTGCCGTTGTTTGATCTTATTGGTCTTGAAGGTGCATATTATTGTGTGTATATATATATATATATATGGGCAGGTTCAAATGCAAACCATCCAATTCTAAAAAACCGTGTAAACCAATTTCGACCAATAAGAAAATTCCATTTGTTTTTAATTAAATTTAATTGATAAGGGTATTTATGTCATTTTACACAATTTTTTGATAATTAAGGAAGTTATTAATACATTTTATTTAAGGCAATTTAATAAAAGAAAG